CCCACTGATATTCTCTTTTCCTCAGATAGACTGGGTGGTCAGAAAGATAAATTGTTTTGTAAGTGTTAACATTTGCATGGCATAAAACTTTTATCTTTTTTTTTTGGAATTTTTGGAATTCCTTCCAGTATATTTCTCTTTATAATAAAGAGGTTCCTCTTCTTGGCTTCTTCTTCTTTTTTCTTTTTTTAGAAAAAAATCAATTCAGTATTGTCGAAGGCTTTCATGGCCGGAATCACTAGGTTCTTGTGGGTTTTTTCGGGCTATATGGCCATGTTCTAGAGGCATTTCTCCTGACGTTCGCCTGCATCTATGGCAAGCATCCTAAAAAACTCTAAAATTACAACAGCAAAACAGCAGAGAGGAAACAACCAGGCACATCTTAACACCTTTCAACAAAACATTTTCCCAGGCTCAGCCAGGCCCTCAAATGCTAATGAAGGTGGTCAGCTGAAACATTCACACCTAGCTCCAGCAGAGAAGGGCTCTTTGCCCCATCCCAGCCATTCCACAGATATATAAACCCATTTTCCTATTTCCAACAGACCTCACTACCTCTGAGGATGCTTGCCATAGATGCAGGCGAAACGTCAGGAGAAATGCCTCTAGAACATGGCTATATAGCCCGAAAAAACCCACAAGAACCTAGCAATTCAGTATTGCCAGGTGTTTTAATATTTTCTGAGTTCAGATATTTTTTTTATTCATTGGAATCATGCTTAAGACTCGGTGGTTTACAAAACATTAAAACGTTTTGCAAAGTATTTAAAAGCCAAGTCTTAACCCAATACAATACAAAAGTAAGGAAGAAATGAAATTGAGATTAGTCAGGAAAGTAACATAAAACAGTTAAAGCATGAGGACTTCATAAGATAGATTGTCCAATATTTCTGGGTATTATTCCTTGTCGGACCCATCACCACCTTTAAATGTAAATGTGCTGGTGGATTCAGGAACTGACTGATGACAAACATGATATTTCAAGTATAGCCTTTCCATTGACTCTTGTTGTTTTGTGCTTTCAAGTCATTTCTGATTTCTGGCAGCCTCAAGGTGAAACTACCATGGAGTTTTCTTGGCAAGTCTTAATCAGATGAATTTGCCATTTCTTTTCTCTGTGGTTTAGAGGATATGGCTTACCCAAGGACACCCAGTGGACTTCCATGGCCGAGGAAGGGTTTGAATACTGGTTTTCCAGAGTCATAATCTAGCAGTCAAACCATTAAATCGTGCTGGTTCACTCCATTGCCATACCTAGTTATGAACATGTGCCTTCGAGTTGACTCTTAACATATAGTGATCAAGTCATAGCATTTTCTGAGAAAGGTTTATTCAGAGGAACTTTGGCCCCCCGACTCTGGAACTCACTACCTGGAGAAATTAGGAAAGTCCCTACCCTAGAAACCTTTAAAAAGAACCTTAAAACCTGGCTCTTCTGCTGCACTTTTGATGAATAGGTTTACATCCTCACACTAGACTAGTGCATCAACGTTTTGTCATTGGAGTACATGCCCCCTCCTTGTGGGAAAGCTTGATTCTACAACCACCACTATAATGAGCCCTCCTCCGCAAATAATGTTTCTTTCTTATCTCGCCTGAGTTTTAATCAGTTTTTAATCAGTCTCTCTTTTAACCATTATATGTTGCCCACCCATTGTCATTGTGATTGTGCCTATTGTAATTTTATATTGCTATGTTTTCACATGTTCTATGTAATTATGTTGTTGTTGTTTATTGTTTGCGTTTTCGGTTTTATTTTATTGTAATTTGTTGTTTGGGCTTGGCCTCATGTAAGCCGTTCCGAGTCCCCATTGGGGAGATGGTGGTGGGGTATAAATAAAGATTATTATTATTATTATTATTATTATTATTATTATTATTATTATTATTTGTTGTGCTGATGTATATCTGTGCTGTCATTGCACAGTCCTATACATATTAATATCAGTGAAGAAAAATATCTTCTGTTCTCTGAGAAAAATAGAGTGTGGCTTTCTCAAGGCCATCCAAGCGAGTTTCCATGACTAAATAGGGAATTCAAACCTTGATCTAGTGAAGTTAGTTCAACACTCATACTGCTAACAGGTTGCTGGTTTTTAAATTTTAAATTCATATTTGAAAGACGAATATGATTAGCCAGGATTTCATAAAACCAAATCAAGTTTTCTGTTGCAGCTTTCTGTTGGGTAGACACGGAGTCTACATCTTACAAACACTAATAGAATGTTTACATATGTGTAAAGAGCAGTCCTTCCATAAAATAGTTCTGAATCGACAAACTCTTTACATTGGTGTGTACTGTGCATTTCAGGAGTAGGTGGTTATAAAGATCAAGTGACCCGGATCATTTATGAATTGAAATTCCTGTACCATAATTATCTCTAGGCTTCCATTGCCTGTTGGCTTTTTGTGGAGGTAAGTCTGGAAACACAGTATAATTTTATGTTAATTATATACAATATATCACATACCACCGCAACAGTGTCACAGCAAAAGAAACACAGATTCCCACCAGGAATAATGTACAATCTAAATTTGAAATACGAGGTGATAAAGAGAACGTGCAAATAAAAAATGGGTGGGGTAGGGTGGAGGGTAGATAGATGTTCAGTTCAGTTGCAAATAGTTAGCATTAGTGTAATAGGGAATGAAGATAACAGGTTTGCATACCAAAGATGTCAATTATGTTTGGGAAGAGTTTTGAAGGAAAACAGAAAGCATGCTTTAGACATTGAAGGAATCAGTACTAAATTGAGGCAACAAGGGAGAAGGTCATGTATTACATGAAAAAGAGAAATAGAGGCATCTTAGGATGGTGGATTTTGAGACCTCATCAAAATTACTTTGCATTGAAAAAAAATGAGTTCCTAGGTAATAGCAATAAAAATCAGAGATCGAATCCTGGAAGGAGGGGAGGTATAATGGAGAAGGTTTGGCCATGGAGATCTTTGAAGTCAGGGATGTTGAATTTGTGCTATGTCTTTAAGCTGAAAATAGTATTTGAGAAGGTTGGGGCAATCAAAGTTGTGGACAGAAATGAAAGAACTGATGTGCAATATTTCAATAATTATCTCACTGTCTTCCTATTTTTCCACGAAGCAGAGACACTTTTGAAAAGTCCGAAGGCATTCTTCAGTGTTCTTCTAGGCAGGTCAGGGATGAATAAAATTTATTTATTTATTTATTTGGAGTGCTTCTACCCCATCCTTCTAAACCTCCTAGGGGGGACTCAGGGCGGCTTACAAAAGGCACAATTCGATGCCCAACAATTCACAAAATACAATATACAATTTACAATATAACGACGACAGTTATAACTAATTAAAACAGCCAATTAAAACAACAGCAGCAATAAAATCATCTTGTGGTCAACGTTCGTCAATTCATAAATCCATAATCCATCC